GGGCAAATTCGTATAATTCTTCACAAATCTGAAAAGAAAACCGCAAACAACATTGACAAAGGAGGCGCTTATTACTTCGGAACTTTGATTGGAGTCCTAGGCATACCATTAGACATTAAAACCCACACGGTGCAACTCGGTTTCGAGGGCAGCGAATGGTATTCGGAAGCCTGTACAGGCTACCATGCGAAGGATGTAAATTCCTTTTCCGTTGTCGCTTACCCGCTTTGAGAACTAGAGGAGAGCGGACTAGCAGCGCGCCAAACTCAGCCTCATTGACACGCCCCTGCACCCGCATCGAACAAGACTGCTACTGTGACATCATGATGCCAAACCCCAAAAATGCAAATAAATTCGCAGAGAAATACGTAAAACCTTACTTGATTTTCACATCACCAACATTGATCCAGTTGGTCAAAGCATCTCCGCCATTATTTTTTTGACTTTCCATGATGGAAGTGACGGATGGGGTGAGGGCTTACCGCAGTATCAGCCTGTGGACTATTCTTTGAACAGAACTGTAAAATAGTCAAACAGTGAATGATGGGCAAGAAGACAGTGATACTCCACAGATCCCTTTCCAATCACATTAAAATAGAATAAATACTGGTTCAAACCGTATCAAAAGCTACAAACATACTCAACCGTTTATTAACGTTCACTGACCAGCAAAGTTAGAGAAACAGTCCGCTATTACGAGTCGTAAATTGAAGGGTTCAATAGCGAAACTGTAGGTGCTGGATTTCCTAAATGTGGAGGAAAAAAAGTGGGAGGTGGGGGGGGGGGGAGGGGACGGTCGAAACTCTTCAAACAAGGCCCCTTGGCTATAAGAAGTTTTCGATATAGTTGCTTCAAGTCAGCAAGACGATACGGCCGGCCCCTTGGCTTTCCCTTGCTCGCTGTTGTACAATAGGAAAAAAAGTCATGTAGAAACGACGCAGAAAGAAAGATCGAAAAAAGTATAGGATGAAATTGGGAGCTAATTGGTGACGAGCCATAGTACCAGATTAGGAAATTTCGGAGGGTAGAGGGCGGGTGAGGGGGGAGTCGCGCCGACACCGCTGTTTCACTCAACACGACGCTGTTCTGTGCTAGAGGTTACCGCAGCCCGAGGAACTACTACACCAACGCAACTGCACTGGCGAACGAGGACGAGTTATACTTCGCAAAAAGACTTCTTTTGATGGTGTGGTTTTTTTTTCAAAAAAGGGTGTTCGAGCAAATTCGAGTGACTGGATCACTCCATTTTCTCGAAGGATCAGCTCGTCAAGAGAGGTAACTCACATAGAGCACATGGGACTTCCTACGACGTTGCGGACGACGGTAGGGCTTCCAGCCACTGCATATAGGTCGTTGCCATGTGGGCGTTTTCAGGAGAAACAGAGCCAGGAATGGATCAGTCACGCATTTCTGGCGCACCTATCTGGCATATTTAAGAGACGAAAGTGAAACACCCTCTGCGACTGTGAACCAGATTCCACCTGCCCGGTACGCGAACGGTATATTCAAGGAGAAATGGTATAAAGTTTGATAAAGGCTCAGTTTCATATAACATAAAGAGAAAACTTTGAAGTGCTACAAGCGAAAGCTAAACTTGGCATAATACTCAATGTGAAATAAAGGTTATCACCTTGATCAATCCGGTACAAAAGAGATCGAAAACACCGACAAAACGAGACAAGAAAAAAATAAGGGATAAGGAAACTGTAATATGGATGAAATCTTAAGAGCAATAAATGAAAGCAGCAAAACCACGAATCTACCAATCATCATTCTCATTATTTGCCGATCCAGCACCTCGTATAATCTTCATTCTTTGTGGTTCCGTCTTAATTTTGTCAACCTTTATTATCCCGGTTCCTGCCAAGCGAGCCTCCAACACCTGAAATTTCTGAATGGCTTTTCGCAGTCTCAGCCAAACCACTGGGAAATACTGAATTACAAATTCAAGAAATTGTGCAGTATACAGTACCCTAAACTGCGCGTGAAACCGAATGCGGATGAGCAGCGAGGACCCACAAATCCATTTAGTCTCCGACTAGGTAGCCCCTGACCAGAAAACGCAACCCAGAAGCTTCTTCCCATTGCCTTATTCCAACAAACGAATCTCGCTGCGAGGGTCCAGGGTTATTTTCACGAGGCATCTACCAATCCAGTAGTTGAAGGGAGAAGGTAAAGGAGGAGGGATCAGAGAAAGAAGGAAGGAAAAGAAGGAGAGAGAGGAAGGCAAAAGAAGAGAGGGGAAGAAAAAAGAAAGAGAGGAGAGGCTTCCCGGTTGACAAGTGCCCTGAGACGGAGTATGCCGTGTGCATTCACGGAGGCGACACATTTAACTTCGCGCGCGATTTCTGGCGGTGTTGTATACCGCTTCTTTTCCTGAACTTATAATCTTGTATGGGAAACCATACCTCAGTTTTGAAGTCATTGGTAACGTTAGGATCTTCGAATCGAATGTAATCAATAGCTTGCTGATCTTTCACAATAGCGGCTGTGGGAATAACACGAATATTAAGACGTTTGACGAGGAAGGGAACCTTCAAATGGAAATCTTTTGCATAATATTGCACATGAAAAGGAACATCCGTGAAAACTGAACCTTTTCAGCATTCACATGAATAAATCGTGTTCCCATGTGTTTGGCAGCTAGGATTTTCATATGTTTATCCACTACTTTACATCTGAAACAGAACCTTTCGGAACAACGGCACTAAAAAAAGACTATAGAGGATATGCTAGCCCTCATCCGCACGACATCCACATAAATGAATGAAGTGAAAACAAGTGAGCCTCAAGACTTCTGTTCAAGGTCCCGGTCGCGCCACAAGCAGGACAAACACGCAACACGCTACATGTTCAACCGTATGGTGGACCATGGCAGCCCGATATTGGCGCAGCGTTCTCACACGTATCTGGTGTACCATTGTTCTCCATTGCTCGGTTTCGGCAGCGTTCCAACATGTCATCTGTGGGGCCTGGTCAGTTACTCCTGCAACGAAGCGTTGTTCTGGGTTCATACATTGCGGCAGCGTTTCAAACGTTTTTAGCGAACTAGCCGCGAAACGTTCAACGCAGACACAAAGTATGAAAGCAGCCTCAGCTCTCCCTGTTTTTGCTCCCTTTCGCTCGCATTGCCCTAGAAGCCACGAATGAATGCGGTCGTATTAAACTGTCATGTTAAAGGCAGTTGGCACGATGGTTTCCCATTCGGCCTAAAATGCTAGTAGGGCACTATGTAGTGGGGGAAATGGCGAAAGAACGGAGTGAAACGGTCAAAATCCGGCGAAGAAAAAGCCTCCGTTCTCAGTGACTTGAAAATCGATTTCGGACGAGTTTCCCGTACGCATCTTGCCAATCACCGCTACCGAAGATACGGCTGCATATGTGTACCCATGTATGCATGCAGCATCACGGCCGCTTCATACCAATCCCTTCGCTTCATAATTTGCTCAGCAAATGAATGAATACGAGCGTCAGGAACGGTCGTCCGTTTGTGGGCGGGCGGGCGAGGAAGGCGTTTGGGACGGAATGTTGTTGCTCGATAGGGCGTTATAGGGGTACCCTCCTTGGAAAAGGCGCCACGGAGCGCCTGTCCACGGAATTCTGTTAAGCCAGTCGTATAAATCCTACACCTGTATAGCGATTTATCGTGCCAACTGCCTTTAAGAACCCTGTCATGGGCCAATCAAAACATGATGCCAACCTCCTTGCTATTAGTTGCTGCGCATGAAGAAATTCCAGATCAGAGTACGTCATGAGTTTGAGACTTACGCGGGGTCCTACGTCCCTTCTCTAATCAAGGCGTAAGCTTGGAGAGAACACGACGAGTTGCGTCTGCTGTATTAGACACAGGGCAGGTCTCACCATGGGCAAAGGGGGGGTCTCATTTGCCGTAGAGAAATGTTTCCAGTTGTGGCCTTTTCGTATTTTCTGTATCAAATGCGCTACAGATTCCCACCCTCTTCTACAAACCCGCTGCCTACCTACCTTAGAAACTTTCATGCTAACGCCACTGGTTCCCACGACCTCTACCGAATCGGACGATCGTGAAGAAAAACAAAATCATTAAAGAAGACATACGTAAAGTTGCCATCGAGGTAGAATAAGCACACGACATTTTTACTTTTCTTTGTTGCCTCGAAAAACTCTTTCTCATCAGCAACTTCTGTATAGGCACCGTGACCGTTGGCGAGCATTTCCTATACAGGGATCGTAGAGGATTAGGTCAGCATTTGCCAGTGCTTGACTTCTGAACTTCTTAGAGGCAGCGGGCGCAGGGGCAGGCGGTTGTCGCCAGTGTCAGTGGTAGAAAGGCTGAGTAGGGTGGGCTACGACGTCTCGCAGCTCATCCGCCAATGACACTGGCAACAACCGCCCGCCCCCAGCAATCCGCCTTTAAGGTTTATTCAGAATGAATTACAGAATCGAACCTGCTTTGCTTTCTGTACTTTCTTCATCTCCTCCAGACGACGTCGTCGGATTACTTCAAGATCGTCCTCATCCATAGTATCAAGCCTTGAGAAATACAATTATTGAATTAAAAAGGAGAAAATTGAGGAGACATTCCCAAATAGGCATTACTGCAGTATTCAACCCTACTTTTTCATTTCACTGTCAATGTGTTCTTCCACCACTTCCGCAGCTTTCATAAGTTGATCAGCTAGTTGATTAGCTACGTTCGGACCCGCCATTTCTAAAAATGGAATTTAATTTGTCACTGGGCATGAGGTACCAAATCAAACATTGCGGACAACCCTGTGGCTGTGTTCATGCTTTTCGTTCGCGTTTTGAGCGTATAGCAGCGTTTTGAGCGATTAGGAAAGTATAGATATCGATCTAGCGTTTTGAGCGTACGCCGGTGTTTCAGCGTTTTCGCGGGCAGTTTTGACCTTTTGAGGGCTGAAAACTCTGACGTAAACTATGAACGCATCCAGTCCCAGTTCTCGCTACTTGTCTCTGAGGATGTCTGATTGATGTAAAAGCGGGAATCATAACTCTAACAAAGCAGAATTTAGTTTTGTTGCTCTTCCCTGTGGGTCCTTGCTTTCGAGTGAAAAGTTAAGGTGTTTGTTTTACTTGTTGCATGAAGCTCTGCAAGATTCTATGAGACAACATTTGGGGCCCTAAGCCCTTCCCCAGACCACAAAACAATAATCAGATATCATACGTGGAATAATAGCTGAACCACACAAGAGACTATGAAAAACGAATCGCTAGCAGCGGACCGACCATTAAGAAAATGCTTTTGCTCAGGGGAAATGGGTTCACCCCAGGAGCCACGTGAGTGGCAGCAGATGCTTCAGTAGGAACAGCAACTTGAGGACCGCGAGCTGAGAAAGGGCTTAGAGTCAGAATTTAGCTTACATCCAAACCCTGGAGGGTTTTTGCTGCAACTAAAGAAAACACCGAAGAAATTAGACACTTCAATGAATCAGAAATCTCGACCTGTTGGGACTTTATTAGTTCATCAAGTAAGTTTTCACTACTTAGCGAAACGTTTGGCATATGGAAATACAAATAATGAACAAAGAATCAAACGAACTCGAGAAATCTCGAAAATGCTCTCAGATTGCCAAATCTGCCGTGAACTTCAGATGTTTGTCTGTCGCGTGAGCCCGCGAGTTGCGTGCATGTGATTTCACGCCTAGATTTGCCAGAGTGTGCCACGCGTGACCGCACGTGGATGGCGGGAACGACCACCCTCGGGGAGCCGAGTCAGCCGTCAGCTCCGCCCCGAACCATTCCCGAGGTGATCACGCTCGAATGCCGATCTGCCCGACCCCCCGCGCGCGATCGCCGGTGCCCGAACCCCGCGACTGCCCGTAAGACAAACCAGATCTGCACCGTGCGCGCCACCGGCGCAGCCCGGACACGCCACTACCGGGGTGGACTGCGAGACGCGCCGACGCCCCGCCGGCCGGCCAAGGCCCCGGATCGCTCCCACTCTCCTCCGCCGGGCCCAAACATGTAACAGCGTCCGTCCATCGGGAGGGGGAGCGGGCTCTCGACCCCCCCCACCGCATGGGCTGGACCCAGACGCCTCCCAGCCAGCGGCCTACAGGTCACCACAGCACCACTGCACCCTGCCGGCAGAGTTCCTAATAGTGTCTCCGTTCCGGCTTTTTTTTCTTCATTGAAAACCACTCTAGTTTGTTGAGGATCCAGCGTTCCTCCATGGCTGCATGTAACTCTTTCCGGGCAGAAACGCGTATTACTAGTTGTAGGTTCAGAATAGTCCCAGCATGCGGGAATTCGCGCAATCTCTAGTTTTTCGGCTAAGTTTTCCTCTAGCAAATGAGGAGCCATCGGTGCTTGTCACATTGGCCTTCTTTGCCCTTCATATCTTACAAACCAGCTCTTTCAAGAAAAATTGAATCCCGATCTTCAGCGCGATATTAGCTTGGCAAATGTTTCTGCGGACCAGTTTTCGTAAACTTCATTATTTATTGATTAGTTGTGGAGGATTTCGATGCTGCTGAATAGTGCTGTTCTCTAGAAGTTGTACACGGTATATTAAGTCTCCTTATTGTATGAGCTGTCACGAGGAAGTTTTGATGACCCGGCTAAACCCCTGACTCTCACACCCGAGCCGAAGAACCCAACGCAAGTATGGAGAGTTGATGAACCAAAGGCTTCCTGAAATCCGGCGCTATTCGATGATAATGAAATACCTACTGTAAGCGACATGTAACAGTGTGATGAATATGAAAATTAACCCTGTGAGAATTTTCCCGCCCACACTCCCGGTCGTGGGGGGTGGAAAATTCGACTATTAATACCCCACTTAGGGACAGCTAAACCACGCCAGTCTTGGCCCCACAAACCTCTGTTCTGCAGGTAGATTTGCTATGATCATTTTTAGCTTCTCGTTTTTCTTGTTTTTCCTGCTGAAGTGTTTTAACGTTGTATTCCGCGGTAATTGGATGGATGAAGCCTCATAGATTGCGTCTTCCTCGTTGATGCACTCCTCTTACTAATAAAATAAAGGAGAGGATCGCTCCAGTGAGAAAGGCTCACTCATCATGATACTCCGCCCATCCAATTGACGCGGAATGTGTCTTTAGGTTCAGAAACTGGCCTGGATTGGCCATTAGTGTCTTCTTTGTTAGTTTTAGTGTTTTTAAGCGTCTAGTCCTCGCGGTCATTTTCCTCGCTTTCAATATTTTTCCCCTTCACCATTCATGTGTACTATTTCAGCCTCATCCTCGTTGTTGAGGGTGTATGATCAGTGAGGCTCGCTGGGTAGACAACGCAACTGCTTCGCTCATCTCATCCGACGTCACCTACTACGCTCTTCTGATCCCTTGCCTCATTCCGGTACTAATCACCTTCCACTTCTTTATTTGGCTAGGTTTGTCGTTTTCACAAGTTCCAGTTCAATCTTGGGCCATGCGCTCAACCAATGGTCAAGTTTACGAGGGTCCCTTGTGGCTCTGGCAATCAAGGGCCGTATTCACTATCCCTCGGCAATCGCCTAGGTGTCTACGATTAGGGAATATTGCATCAATTTCAAAAATCAGTTATCAATTTCACAGTCAATTTTGGTGTAAACAAAATCGGCCGTCCGCCCTTTTGCACCAGTTTTCGAAAGCCGGGTCAGCATTTCAGAGGGGGCTGGGGTGCCCCCTCCCACCCTTTACATCGCCTCTCAGTTCGATACGAAACCGCCTGGCGCCAAAACCTTAAGTCACCGGATTATCTCAAAATTTGTTCTCCATGGGTAGTTTTACCTCCTGGACATAAGCATCACGTCTGCGCGGGATGCCGGGGGAGTTAATGGGACGGGGCTACATGTTATGTTAGATACACTCCGCCTGCAGCCGCACCCGTGATGCGTGAAATGGTGATGTAAGTACGAGCACCCCTCGAAGGAGGGTCGCGGTACGACCCCCAGCCTTCCCTAACACCTACCTACCACTTTCCTGCAAGCTCCCAGCTTCCTACCAGTTTTTCCGAATTTCCCACATTTTCCAGTTTTTTCACCCAAAACGTTGTCCCATGCAATGGGAAAGGGTGCTGCCTAGTGTCGTCGTATTTTGACTGCCCTGGTACACCGCACTAAGCAGCTGGAGTCCGGGTTACACGCCTGGGGTCAAGATAGGCATGTCGCGCCATAGCCTGTACGCCTACGCTGTAACAAAGGCACTAGGTTTCGCGCGAGGCGGATGTGAAATTCACGGTCGGAGTTGATTCTGGAAGTTGGGGTAGTGAATGGTATATAGTGCAACAAAATTACTTAGGAGAGTAAGAGTGGATTCCACTCAAGCGGAAGGTATGCCGCTTTTTCCTTGAGGTCTTCGTTTCCGGATAAGGTAGTGTCCCTAATGGAAGCCTCTCTAACCGGAATGCATCACTTTCTTTATTCCTTGTGGTATTTGTTCTTATCTGATGCGATTTCTTTGAACGTACCTGAGCAAGGTTTGGAAAGTTAAAGCGCTTTTGACTAGTAACGTACAAATTTTTGGTGACTCTGGTGATTTTTGCTGGGAACTTCATAGAGACAGCCCGTTGAATATTGATCCCTGATTCGTTGCCGCTTATATACAGTTTTGCTCTCTGGGGTCGTTGCGGCGCTCCAGAGGACTGGATTTGGCGCGGCGCCATCCCATTCTCCATCATTTGTCGCTTGCCCCACTTCAACAATTGGTGGAGAATTGGCTGGCGCAACCCCAAACCCAGCTTTTCTGGAACGTCCAGCGCCCGTAGCGAACAAGAATGTATTTCAAGGCGTCGTGCATTCCATTTGCGTCTAATCGTAGTGGTATTATGAATTGCCTTTACAGTAACTTAGTAACTTACACGGCCCTTGAGGTGAAGGCCTAATTGGACCGATGTAGAGCCGATTCGGGTTTAGTTGAAGCGAATGTGCGTGGTAATCAGTCGGGCTACCCATTATATTACGTTGGCTCTTTAAAAAAGTCCGTGCAAATTTCTTGTTGCCGCAACTCGTTCGAGAGATGCAGGATACAATGCCGAGTTCAGGTGCTAGGAGAGGTTCTAAACATCTTTTTTCTCAGAAAGCGTTCATACCTCGCCATTCGATCGGAATCGCGATCGCGAAGTGCGAAGCGCTCTAACAGTCCAGGAAGACTTCAGGGTGCCCCTGTCCTTCTCTTCCTTACAACGCACCATCTCTGCTTCCTTACTTTCAGGTCACGAATTCTTTGTAAACAATTAAAATGGCTAATGTAGAAGCAATACCTGCGTATCTCGCTGCAACGTTTCCCACACTGCCTTCTGAGATTAAGGATTATGTTTCTTGTGAGTTGACTTTGTCCTCAAACAGCCTTCCTACTTGGTCCATGTTGAGATTTCCTTATTTCAGCGATTCTCAAGGAAAACGTCGATGAGCTCCTCACACTTGAAGACGGACCACATCATCCAGGTAAGGTAAATATGATCTTTTGTTTCTTGTTTTTACACCCGAGCTACACCTCATATCACGAAAATGAAAAGGGCGTGGCCGCGAGCTTCATTTGGCGTGGCGTGTATGTGCTTTTTATGGGGTCTTACCTTTTGGGGACTGTCATTCTGATGTGTATTGGACAAATGGCACGAGCACGACGTGTAACAATTATTGTCAAAAAGCGCAGCAGTAGACAACGTTTGCAATGACAAGTTTCACTGGCCAACGCCCCGACACTCGGCCATCAAACAAATAGGGCGTGTATATTCGATGGAATATATTTTTAGAGCTATGTCCAAGAGCTATGTAACGATGGATTGAATCGGGCATGTCTGCAACTTCTACAATTCCTGCATGGAGAGTCAGTGTTTCACGGTTTTTTTCGTTTTTCAGCTATTCTTGATTCTCTCTGAGCTTTGAAATCCTCGGAATTCTGGTTTCTGCCACTCGACCAGCACGTCATACTTTACCCATATTCAGGAATGCGCCAAAAGTTGAAAAACATGGAGCGACTACAAAGAAACTGGATCAGGCTGTGGATATGGCTGCTGAGAATCACAGTTTTGCCGAGATGGAGAGTATATGGAAGGTGCAAGCCAGAGATGTGCCGACGGTAGGATTTTCAGACAGCTGCGCTTCATTCGAGACGTTTCCCCCGTGAATCTGCGTTTATACTTCTCGTCGGTATTTAACGTCTCGGGAGAGTGGCCAGCGTTTTGAGCGAAAAGGAAAGTATAGTTATCGATCTAGCGTTTTGGGCTTTCCGAGCGTTTCAAGAGTTTCGCCTACACTTTGCTTTGCGCTCAGAACGCTCGAAACGCCTGCGAAAAGTAGAGGCGAGGGTTATCTTCTGGATTCCCTGCGGGTCAATCCTGTTGTTTACAAAAGTTACGATAGCTAATTTTTTTGATATTTTCTGATTGTAGTCAGTGGACAAGAAAAAATTGGGAAAAGCTGAGAACCGTGCAGCACAGAAGATTGAGCAACGTGATGCTGAACCTGTGGTACGAAAGAAGAGGCCCGAGAGCACAGCAACGGCTTCTCAGGTATTTTCGTGATTTTGCTTCCTTCAGACCTCACACATCTTAGGATCACGTGAGATTACGGCTACCATTTCATCTAGAAGCTGAGCAGGTCGGCTGTCACAGAAGTGTTGCACCCTCATTATTCAAAAACGCTACTCGCCTGCACCCTCTCAGCGAGATGCTGTCGGATGGGTGGCTTGGGATCGCAGAGACTTTCATGGGATGTTTAGATGTAGAGTTGGAATTCGAAGTATTGTCGGAAATCATTTCGAAAGGGCTTAACCGCGCTCGAACAGAGTGAGTCACCGAACGCTACTTCAGGTAGGTAGCGCGAAGTTGGGACAAGCAGCAGGAATGACGTGGCCGTGTGGCGTGAAGGTTTGGCGTATAGGATGTTAGCGGTGTTAGCGGAGATGTGAGGAAGATTTACCTATCACCAACCCTGA